ATGGTGCGGGATGATGGGCAGATGTATGATGACATGTCGCTTGGATCACTACGTCTATTGAAGGCATTGAAAGAGGAGTCAATTGAATCATGTGTGGCGCTGATTGCTTCCCTCGATTGATGAAGAGACCAAGCCCAGAATGACGGCAGAAGATTGACAATGTACGCGGTCTATTTTCCGTTTTGAGAAAGATATCTATGGACAAAGCCACTCAAAGCTCCCATCACATTTTCATCTCATCTATCTCGACAAAGTCCATATCAGGGGCAAACAAGACAACCCCTTAAGCGCGGGAGATGAGGTCCTCTCTCTTGGGACCGGTGCCGATCCAGACACACTTGACACCGACAAACTCCTCAATGAACTCAATGTACGCGCGCGCCTGCTTGGGCAGGTCGAAGTACGTCTTGGCGCCGGTGGTGGGCGTGTTCCAGCCCTCGAGCTCCTTGTAGACGACCTCGGCCTTCTCGAGCGTCTTGAGGTCGGCCGGGAAAGAGGGCAGCTCCTCGCCCGTCTCCTTGTCCTTGTAGGCGACGGCGACCTTGATGGTGGGGAAGGTGTCGAGGATGTCGAGCTTGGTGAGGTTGAGGGCGGTGTAGTGGTTGAGGTTGGCCGAGTACTTGACGACGACGAGGTCGAGCCAGCCGCAGCGGCGGGAGCGGCCCGTGGAGACACCGATCTCGTGGCCGATCTTGCCGAGCTTCTCGCCGACCTCGTTGAGCTGTTCTGTGGGGAAGGCACCGCCGCCGACGCGGGTAGTGTAGGCCTTGACGACACCGACGATGTGTTTGATCTTGCGGGGGTTGAGGCCGAGCTGGGGGCCGTGTTAGTGGTGTGTAGAATGGGTTGTGGGTGGTTTTGCTTACACCAGTGAAAACACCACCGAGGCCAGTGTTTGATGATGTGACGAAGGGGTAGGTTCCGAAGTCTGTTCTGGTTAGTTGCGAGCGCAGTCGCAGGTGAAGTGCTACTGACTAAGGTCAAGCATGACAGCCTGGGCACCCTCGACGAGGATCTTGGTGTTCTTGGCCTGCGCGTCGGCCATGATGGGGACGGCGTCAACGACAAACGTCTGCAACTGGTCAGCGCATGTACAATGCTGGGCAAGAAAATGCGCCATACCCTCAGGTCCTCTCTGTACTGCTTAAAGCGCTTGATCTCGTCCTCAATGTCGTAGACCAAGAGATCACCGAAGCGCTTCTTGAAGCCAGTGGCAAGCTGGCGCAGCTTGCGCTCAAAGACCTCCTCATCGAACATCTCGCTGATGGTGATGCCATTGCGGGCGGCCATGGTGCTGTAGGTTGGGCCAATACCGCGCTTGGTGGTGCCGATGCTGTTGCCGCCCAGCTCCTGCTCCTCGAGGCCGTCGACCTGGATGTGGCAGTCGGTGATGATGTGGCATCGGTCGGAGACGAGGAGGCGGTCGCGGATGTTCTTGAGGCCCTTGGCCTCGAGGTCGGCCATCTCCTTGAAGAAGGTGGGGACATGGACGACGGCGCCGGAGCCGATGAGGCAGATGGCCTGGGGGTGGAGGAGGCCGGAAGGGAGAAGGTCTGGAGGGAACAGATGTCAGCCAAGGCAAGTCATCGCAGACGCAAAGGCGAAAGACTCACGGAAGTCGTAGCTTACACCGTTGGCGATGACGGTGTGGCCGGCTGGGGGAGGCTGGTGTTAGAATGGTGTTCTCGATTGATGGCATCAGGAGCTGGAGTAACTCCTACCATTGTGTCCGCCCTAGGGCCATCAGCATGCCGTTGATTATCTACAAGGTACCGCAGTCCCAACCTGAGCTCTGGCGCAAATCTGCGCGTCCTGTCCAAGGCTATGTGGAGGGTTAGAGGGCGAGGTTGTGACGGAGGGAACAAGGGCGCAGCTTACACATCAACCAGCTTTCCCTTGCCCTCGTCGCTGCGGGTGAGAGGATGTGTTAGTTCCAGAGTATGTAGAGCAATTGGCGCAGCAGGGAATCATGAACGGCGATGTCTCCTGGTCATCGCGTACACCAATGGGGCCGGTGCGTGTACGCGTATTCCAGGTTGTGTTCGGCGCGCTCGCCCTGCTGGCTGGGGCCATTGATGGCGAGGTAAAGCATTGGCATGGCAGAGCAAGGCAGAGAGAGTGTGTGTAAAGCCAATGTGCGCGTCTGTGGTGACAGTGACGATGACATGACAGGACAAGAGGAAGGGCGGCGGAGTGTGACAGCTTACCCCCACTGGGCGCCGAGAACGATGTCAATCGTAGCCATGGCGTCGGGTAGTAGAGAAGAGACTGGAAGTGAATCCAGTGTGTATAGCGAGCAACAAATACGGTCGATTGGCCAAAGTATGGGTTGCTGCGATCGCAACGTCGGTCTGCGATAATCCCAAAAAAACAATCAGAAGGGAGAAGACGCGGGGTTTAAAAATTCCCATGGAGGGGCAGGTTTTGCTCCGGCGGGGCTCCAACTTTGCGCTCCACTAAGAGTCATCAGTGCACCACTGTGACCTGCACCACTGTGACCTGCACCTTGGCAGTGACACTGGTGGCCATTGAGAGTGACTCTTTCCAATGGAATCCTTCAACGCGCCGCCGTTGCGCAATCGGAAGAAAAGTGTACGTACCGCGGTAATTACGTACCAATGGCCGACCACCACGAGGGACGGAACCGCCCGGAGTGGATGAATCAGGCAGGACCGGCAATCGGTCACGTGCAGTCGAAGCCACTTCTGATGAGCCACATCGGCCAAAGCCACAATGCCTACAAGCCACAGCCTCAGCCACCGCCGCCATTCTGTGTCTCGACAGCTCTCTCTCCATTAAATCCTCGAACACAAGGTTGGATGCACAAATGGATCTGGCTCTCTGTCGAATGCTTTGCGAACACTGTGACGATCCACTCATCCGTTGGACAGCTTCTCAGCAACCTGTGTCCTATCATTGTCAGCCACACCAAGGGTAGACTATGCTGGGTTGTTTCCATCACAGAGCCCCCATTCCATGTCTCAATTCCCAGCACTCAAGAGACTTTCTTTTCTCTCTCTCTCTCCCTTGATTGCTAAGATGAGCTTAACTGTGTTAGTCTTTTGGCCCCTGTGCTCTTGTGGACTGCTTTGCCCAGCAAGATGCCGAGCACCGAGTTGGAGATCCACCACCTGAACCCATCATCCATGTCCGCTGCCGAGCGCACCGAGGACGATGCAGTCTTCCTCAGTCTTCTTCACTCGTGTGACCAGCTGTTGAAGAGCTTGCTTGTATGAGGCATTCGAAATTGTTTCTTCCAGTTGTCTTGCAAAATTTTCCCATAGCAGACAGATACATGTCAACTCGAGAAACTCAATCCTGACCTTGTACAGGCATGCACAAATGGGCTAACTTGCATCCAACGTGCACCAACAGTTACCTTCACGTGGCTTCGCCCGACAGATACCATCAAGCCTCGGAAGCTTGGCAATTGGCCGAATGAGCCAGCGCACCGTAGTGCAGCATCCCAATAAGCTCACCCTCTCTCGGATGTCCTACCGAACATGGCAACAAGGAATCCCCAGACCCATCCACCCATCTCAAGACCAAGCAGCTGAAAATTTGCCGCCAAAGAACCAATCACTCCCCTTGCCCGAACGCCATCCAATCTTATCAGATGGATCAGATAAACCTGCTCCAACCTCACCATCCCTCCTCAGGCCATTATCAATCTAACCACCTTCCCCCAACCAATCACGCTCCTCACGCTACTCCACAGCATGCTCAAAAAGACCCTGGAGCCATGCAGCAGAGTCCAGAGATCTCTAACCGAGCATCCAGATCCGGCAAGGCGCTCAGCTGCGACCCCTGCCCGAATGGACTGTTGGTGCGCCGCCGGACCACCCTACACGAGCTTATTGCCCTTTTGCTTCACTCCAGCCGTTGGTGATGGCCTTGGACAGCTGCCAAGAAAGGACTGGTCTGCTTCGCTTCTGTAAAGAGAGCGCCACAATGCAGGTGCTTGACTCTGTCCAGTCTCGCTACTGGTGCAAGCCTGACTTTCTCGGGCACGTCGGATCGCAAAGAGCGCATATGGAGTGCATGTACATAATAGACGACGGTCGCCACGGGCAGCTGCAGTGAGTCGATTCTTCCACGATTCCTTGTCGGATTTTCATTACTTCGGATACGGCCCGTGATCATCGTGGAAACTCGTCAGCGTTCACCTCAAGTCCTCCCCAAGCGCAATCTCCGCCATGAAGTCCTCTTACGTCCTCCTCGCCACCCTCGGCCTCGCCGCCGCCCAGCAAAAGTTCACCGACGTGATCCCAGAGTGCTCCGTAAGGTGCCTCACCCAGGCCGTCAAGGACGGAACCAAGTGCAGCAGCATCGACGACTCCCAGTGCATCTGCGAGGCCACCAACTACCGCAACATCTACACCGTCGGCGTCTCCTGCGTCCTCGCTGCCTGCGGCGGTGACGTTGCCACCGGTACGTTTGTTCCCCAGACTGCCTCATCGAACACTGGAGCCTTCAGAAGCAGGTATGAAAAGTAGCTTACACTTGTATACAACAGGTGAACTCCTCCCCGCCGCTGCCAAGTTCTGCCGCGAAGTCACCGGCGGAGCTTCCGCGCCCCCCGTGTCCTCCGCGTCCGCCGCCGTTTCCTCCGCCGTCTCTTCCGCGATTGCCTCCGCAACCAGTGCGGCTTCCAACGCTACGGCTGGTGTCACCGGCACTAGCACCACTACATCTGGTGCAACGGCGACTGGCAGTGGCGCTGCTGCTTCGGGAACCACTCAGGCTGGTGCAGCTGCTGGCGTTGGCTCCATGGGAGCTTTTGGAATGCTCGCATTGGGCGCTCTTGCTGCATTCTAAGTGGCATCTAGTCAAGAGAATAGGGCACAAACTATATGGAGATAATTCAGCGAGATTAAGGGACAAACGAGACAGCGCAAGTATCCTGTAATATGAAATAGCGCACAGCGGTATATTCGTTCCTTTCTTTAGGGCATTACGTGTCTATGATTACTCCATCTCTTCGCTCTCAGCACCTATATCTATGGTCTCTTGATGATCGGAACAGCGGTGTTCGCTTCCGCATCTCCATCCTTGGGCGCGTTCACCCAACTCTCAATCCGTTTTGATACCGCACCACTCTTCTCCTCCACTTGGCGGAAGTACAAATCAGCGCATATCCAGGTCAATGTGAATATGATACTCGCTGTGGCCGTCCACGCAAAGAGAAGGGTCCAAGGATACTGCAAAGCTTCGGACATGATCAGATGTACAGGGTCCTGCGGCCTCAGCAGCCTCCAGAAGAAGTCTCTCAGCGGGCCCTTCAGGATGATGGGTGGCAACTGGTGCACGAGGTACCATGAGAAGGAAATCTTGCCCAGATACTGCAAAACCGGTGCTTCGAGCCGTCTCGCGACAGAAGGGGATGTTGCGATGACCGAGACGACCATCAGACCGCCTAGAGACTGGTAGCAGGACCTGACAACAGAGAAAGTGTTGCGACCGGACTCTGCCCACCGTCTGGATCGAATAGATGCCAGCCACTGGTAGCCAACGTGAGCGACCCCAGTCCCTTCGTCACCCTCGAAGCACATGAGGTACAGGCCTCCAAGGAGAATAACAGTCTTCGCCAGGCCGACAAGCCTGGCTCTGCTTGCTGTAGCCCTTCGCGGGAACAAGACTGGCGACCCAATGACGGACCACTCATGCCTCGCCTGTATAACCGCAACAATCTCCGCCAGCCACGCGCCGCCGAGGAAGCAGAACAGATCCCAGTACCCATGATAGATGAAGTACCCCGCGAGTCCAATCATGCCCACAAGCTTATGCTGCGTCTTCCACAGCGAGCACCCAAGCAGCGTGAGGTACAACACGCACGACCCGCGAAACGTCACCGGGATCGTCCACAGCTGATTATTGAACCCCTCATGCCACGCCAGATTCACCGGCTCTGCGATATCAACCAAGTAATCCACGAGCAGCCTCAGATGCTGCAGCGGCGCCGTCCACGGCTTCAGACCGCGCGTCACATGCTCCGCAAACGGCCGCGTCGTGACGCCGACAAAGTACGCCGCGTTCGCGAGCACGGTGATGGGGATGATGGGCAGGTACAGCCGCAGCCAGCGCCGCACGAGCGTCAGCTGGAAGTACCGCGAGAAGGCGCCCTCGCCGCCGCTGCTGCGCGCGAGCACGCTGTGTGCCATGGCGTAGCCGCCGATGATGAAGAAGAGCGGCACCATGGAGTGCACCGCGAAGGGGAGGCGCAGGATCGGGAGCTGGAAGAGCCAGCGGTTCTCGGAGGACGGCGCGGCCCAGAAGGAGTTGTAGGGCGCGGCGAACTCGCCCATGATGTAGTGGTTGTAGGAGACCGAGACGGCGGCAATGGCGCGGACGCCGTCGAGCCAGCGTATCCTCTCCATGGCGGGTAGACAGATCCTGTCTAGAGGGTTTCTTGTGTTGTGATGTGAGTATTGGTTGTCAAGTTGGGATACTGGAAGAAAATGTTGGATGAACAAATTGGTTCAAGAGGGCATGACCCCCAGAACGAGAGCAATATGCGGAATCCGGGCCGTCTGGTGCTTGGATGATCGAAGAGATAATCACGTCGAAATGCTCCGCCCAACGAACTTGGCTTCAAGCATATAAATCAGATCGGCATTCAATGACCATAAACGGGCGTAAATTCGCCGAAGACGTTTCATCAACCTGCGCAAGGCACGGTCGGCGGCGAGTTTCACAATGGGCAGCAAGCTTGACTCGCCTCCCTGTCCAGCAACACAACACGTCTTGTCACAACGATAAACTTTATTCTGGCGTCGCAGCCAAGCTGTGACAGGACATGACTGACTCTTGTAACTACTCCCACCGGAAACTCCACTTCAGCGTTGGAGCATTGGCATTCCTGATGGCCTTGGAAGAATATGCCATTTCCAGTGCGATGGGGAGATGCGGCCCGAGGAAGATGGCCATCCAGCGGGAACAACACCAAAAAAGCAGAGTCCACTTGTCTCACCGCACGATGCGACGATCTCGTAACGGTTCCTGCATAACGCGTCGTCTCATCATGTTACTCCTTCCGAGTTCTGGATGAACGTTAAAGAAGCTGGCATTGTATTAAGAGCAGCACGTCAACCCAAGCTTCTGGGAACCTGTGAGAGTTTGATTGTGTTCGTCCCGTCTTTCGTTGACTTTCGCCCGATCTCATCCATCCCATCTCCTCCGCACCACAACTCTATTAAGCCACCGTCACCATGTCTGAGAAGGGCTCAGAGTACAGCTCTGAGAACGGGAGCACACTAATTACACCGATAGAGACGACGAAGCCGGTATGGCCACTGGCGACGCCACGGACTAGGAAAGAGTTGTATCACACCATCATCAAGTACAACTACTGCGTCTTTCCCGTTAGTCTGGGACTCACATTCTGCCGTAAGTACTCTGATTTCATCATTTGGATCCCTCAAAGGGTAGACTTTCTGACTCGCCGGTATGTAGTCCTCTGGAAGCTGGCCTACGTAACAAATCGGTACCAAAATGCCGTAGCCGTCGACAACCAATGGAACTGGGCGACCATTCTCCAAACATCACTCCTGTTCTTTGGTCTCCTAGCCCAAATGCCACCGTACGTCTCCGTATGGAGCCTGTGCATGCCCATGCGACCAGGCTCGCACGCCCAAGGGCCGGCGAAGCGTGACTTCAGGAGCTTGAGAGTGTGCCTTGTGACCAAAGGCACAAACTTTGATGTGAGTGCACGCATGAATGCCCCATCGACAGTTTTTGAACAACGCTAACATGATTGAAGACCGTCATCAGAGCCACTAGGGCCTGGGCACCGATGCAAAACATCCCGGGCGTGCGTTTCCACGTCCTGCTGGATGACGAGACCAAGGAAGTAGAGTTCCGTCAGGCCCTCCCCTCCTTCGTCCAGATCGTCGTGGTCCCGTCAGCCTTCACCCCGAGCAAGGCCAAGTATAAGGCTCGCGCGCTGGAGTACTACCGGAGGAACCAGCAGCTCGGAAGCGGCGACTGGGTCTTGCACCTCGACGAAGAGTCCATGATTGACGAGGCTGTGATGGAGGCATGCATCAACTCCATCACGAAGAGCGATATTGACATGTTCATGGTACGTGCCCCCCTGGGTTCTGGAATTCTGTAAAAGGTTACTGACGAAGGCGCATTAAACAGGGAACTTTGCATTACAACGACGTCAACCACTGGAAGAACGGCTTCCTTTCGACAGCCGAGACGCTCCGCTCGCAAGAGGACTTTGGAAAGTTCTCCTTCTCGGTTAGGATGCGCAACAAGCCCATGCTCGGCTGGATGCACGGCTCCTGGATCCTAATCAACGGCGCCGTCGAGAACGCCACGACATGGGACACGGACTGCCAAGCAGAAGACTTCTGGTTTGCCTACAACGTATGTTGACCTCCCCCATTCTGAAGCATGATGAAACACCATGGAAGACTAACTTCACCTTTACCAAAGTCCTCTGCAAAGGGATACAAGTTCGGCTGGATCTGCGACCCCGTCCACGAACAGCCCAACGAGACGTTTCAAGACTTTTGGAAGCAGCGCAGGAGATGGTACACGGGCATCCTCTCCATCCCTAGCGTCATCGTGCAAATCTCGCTGGTGGTCAGCGTTATTGGTGAGCTGGTGTACTGGATTGGGTATGTTTCGCTTCCCCTTTCCTGGTGCACTCTTATATCGAGCGCATTACTGACGTTGAATACTACAGACCCATCTACACACAGCTCGGCGGGTCTTTCATCATTCCCAAGTGGCTTTTCATCTGGGGCCTCTGGCATTTCACCGTCGACACCCACAGCCTACTGGTCGCATCATTCATGTCAGATCTCACGGCACCGGAGGGCGTGACGTGGCTTCAGACGGTGCAACATGCGATCCAGACGGTATTACTCGCGCCGATAGTCCGTCTCGTACAAGTCTCGGCCCTGGTGACGTGCATCTTCAATCCGGCCAAGGGGTTCGCGATTGTGTCAAAGAAATAGAAGAGAGCAGTCATCGTAATAGACATTAGAACATAGACGGGGATGGGTGAATCGCTGGGCGAGCTTATCCTCAGTAATAGAACCACTAATTTAGACACTCAAAGGACCATGCAGTACGCCCGTTCACCTACACGTACCGAGGTGCCTAGTATTAATATGGGAAGCCCACTCAGAGCCCAATGGGCCGCTGTAGCCACGTCCCATGATGCCCAGAGATAGACTGTCTACTGTGATGGAATGCGGGTCACACTTTTGGACATATCGTGGGCCGAGCCGTTCTCTGCGGGTCCGACCGGTGCGCTTCCGGAGCTCCCGCAGGGTGGCGCTCGGGTGGCGTCCCGATACATGCACCGTTGGCTGAATCATAGAAAGCTTGATTTAACGATTCTCTTGTATTAACAAGCAGGTATCTTAGTTGAAGGTAGCAATGATCTTGTCCGCCATCTCAGGCAGCGTCTTGGCAACAACGTCCATCTTTCCAAAAATATCAGGCAGCTCCTCTCCCTCCAAAGCCTCACAGTAGGCGGCGTTAAAGCTAGTAGACAAGTTAGATGATTATCAAAACAAAATTCAACAGAGTGCAAACTCACCCAACAGTCTTTGCTGTTGACGCATCCCAAAGATGCGCAGCCGCAAACCAAGGCTTGCCGTTCTCAGACAGCTTCTTCAGAATCGGCGCATACGCCTCGGGCGTAGGCTTCGCCAGCCCCGACGAGTCGCACGACAGCAGATTCTCGACCGGCATGTCCACGCCTCCCCTCGAGAAGTAGCCGCCCACACGCGCAATGTCGCCCGCCGTGAAGCACCACACCGTGAAGCCGGCGTCGCGCAGCTTCTGGACGCACTCGGCGGCGCCCTCGCGCAGGCGGAGCTTCTTCCACTCGTCAATCAGGTAGTTGACGTCGTCGTCGGTGCAGAACTCGCGCGGCTTCTCGATGCCGGCGTAGTGCAGACAGCGGTAGAAGAGCGACTGGAAGACCTTGAAGAAGACGACGTAGCGGCCGGACATGGAGAGGTAGGTGTATTCGCGCTCGGCGACCTCGAGCCAGCAGCAGCCGAGGAGCTTCGGCTGGATGCCCCGGGCCTTGAGGCGCTCGCCCAGGCGCTCGTCGATGGCCTCGAAGAGGTGCTCGTATGAGACGAGTGTGCCGACGACGTCGAACACGACGTTCTTTGATGCGGCCATGGTGATGTGTGCGTTTGTGTTTGTGTTGTGTGTGCGGAAAGTGGAGGCCGGTGAGTGAGGGGGTTTTGCGGGGTTGAGAACAAGACACGATTCAGAGCCTAATTAAGATACTGGGCCTGATGAAGTAATGGAATTGCTGGGTTGCCGGGTTAGAACTGAATCTGACGATGTGGCTTTTTCTGAGTAATCTTCATTCACGGCGTCAGACAAGATGCAGGTTAAATAAAAGAGGCCACGATGCTTATCGCAGGCGAGGGCCGGCGGCCGATGCATATCACCAAACACGCGTCCGTGATCTCCAATCTTTCCCCGCATTCTGGAACACCCCCCGAGCGGTTTCGGGGGCTGGACATCCCCGGACCGGAAGGGAACGTTTTCCGGGCACTGGGCCCCTTGCTGCGCTGGGCACCCGGATGAGCAAAAGAACTTCCGGTCGGTCGGTTATGTCCAAGGGGCTATGCTAGATAGCCGGGCCGGTGTCTCTGGAAGCGTGGTTTGTAAGATGAGATGCTCGTGATGTCGATCTTATCTTGCGCGCCGATGGGACGGTGCCGCGACTCCTATCGGCCCATCGGGCGCACCCTGCACACTGGCGGCTCCACAGATAATGAGCGAACAGGCGAGGATACCCTCATGTTCGGTGAACTTTAACCAAGTCGGCCGAGACGCGTTTACGTGAGTGTTGGCTTAAAAAGTGACGCCTCTCCGAGACTGAAGGCGCCGCACCGGCCAGTAAGTGAAAACAGTCACCGACGAGTCATTTTGGTTGCTTTTATCTCGTACCCCGCTATCAGATCTGAACTCCTTCAAACTACGCACTATCGTTATCACTATCACGATGGTTCTCCCGATCAGCAACCCAACAAAGTCCTACTGGATTGAAGGGGCTGAGTCCCCCCTCCGCAACTTTCGCTCGACCGAGGAGCTGCCCAAGGAAGTCGATGTGGTAATTGTTGGCAGTGGTTATGCCGGTGCGACGACCGCGTACTGGCTTCAAAAGGTAAACCAGAAAAGCCCCCTTGCAACGGGTTAGAACCGCCGTCTGACCACGATTTCAAGTTCACGGAAAATGCGCCGCAGAAGCCCAAGATGCTCATGCTGGAGGCGCGCGACATTTGCGGCTCATCAACAGGCCGCAATGGCGGGCAGCTGAGGCCTCACGCCTACTCCCGCTACAAGCCGTGGTCCGCCCGTTTTGGCCCCAAGGTTGGAATGGAGCTCATCAAGCATGAGATGGCGCATCTCCCCGCATTCAAAGAGCTCGCAGCTGCAGAGGGCATTGCTGAGGAGATCTGCCTAAAGTTCGGCGAGACCTTTGACGCGGCCATGACGGACGAGGCGTGGGAGCGTCTGAAGGGCAACTACGAGGCCATGAAGAAGGACCACGGAGAGGACGACGATGTGGTCAAGGTCTGCAGGCTGATTAAGAACCCAAAAGCCGCGGAGGAGTTCACACAGATGAAGTCTTGCGTGGGCGCTGTGGTGCATCCCGCCGGTCAAGTGTGAGCATCGTGTCCTCTTCAATGCCAAGACTTCAGGGGTAGCTGACAAATTTTCGCAGATGGCCGTACAAATTCGTCCACGCCTTGCTCAGAAAAGTTCTTGAGACGGGCAACCTCAACCTCCAAGCACACACACCCGCCGATAGCGTTTCTGAAAAGGATGCCGACGGCTGGGTGACTGTCAAGACTCCTAGGGGCGATGTAAAAGCAAAGGCTGTGGTGCACGCTACCAACAGATGGGCCTCGCACCTCCTGCCCAATTTCAGCAAGCTCATCTTTGAAGACAGATGCACCATCGCGTCTTTGAAGGCCCCGGAAGGCTTTATCAAGCATACCGGTGCTCAGCACTGGGATAGCAACGTCAACGTGAGTTTTGCATTCATTTCCCCTGGACCAGCACCTAACCAATCTGGACAGAACTACCACCTTCAACTCCCGCCACCATACAACAACATCATTATCGGCGGCGCGAGGCAACTTCTTTGCCACTACCCTGACAAGTGCATCCTCAATGACGAGGAGGACCAGCAATTTGAGGGCGCTCCCGAATTCTATGAGACGTGGCCATCATCAGACATTGTTGGTTGGCAGGGTGGAGAAAAGGCAGAATTTGCCAAGCCTGTTAACGAGGGCGGCTGCTGGTCTGGTGGTAAATCTTCCTCATGACTTTTACTAAAACAGACAGCTGACACTTTTGGCAGTTGACTCCTCGAGCATTGACGGATTCCCCTTTGTCGGAGCTATCCCCAAACAAGACGGGCATTTCGTCACGGCGGGATTCTCTGGCCACGGTATGTACTCTACTTCTCCAAAGACTTCACGACCAACGCTAACAAATGCCAAGGCATGCCTAGGATTCTTGGCTCTACTGCTCATCTCACCCCCCTCATTCTCGACGCTTTGGGTGTCAAGTACACCGTCCCATCGATAGTCGCGCCCTTCCCTCCCCTGCCGAGTCCCTTCTTTGCCACTGCTGAGCGGATTGAGAAGTTGGAAAAGGTTGATGCTGCGCCAAAGTGGGAGGAGGAGAGGAAGAGCAGCTTGGAAAGCGCGAAGAAGCCGTTCTGCAACGACGCTCGCAGCCGCCCGAGACTGTAGCGTGGAAGTGGGGCAGGAGAAGACCACTTGAGAGCCTCTTCATCTGTAAAGAATGGGGCCTCGTGTATATAAAGTGCTCCAATAATTGGGCTGAGAAAATAATGAAGACGCTAGAATACAGCACCTATTGAATCCACTCCGGAACAGCTGATTGTAGAGTGAGATGCACCGCTGATATTCAGCATAGTCCCGGCGCACAAGCCTCACATCAACTTTGAACCACGCTGGGCAACTTGAGCAACGCCTTAGAATGCCAACCTTAGAGCCACGTCTATACTTTTGACGTTCAAAGCTAGGGCATCTATTCATGTGAGTAGTGGTGTTTTGTGCTGGTGCAGGCTGACGTATGCCCCCGAGTACGTGGCCCTCTTGGATTCAAAGCTATGTACACCGAATAATGGACATCAAGGTCGGGCAGGCATTCACAGCTCGGCGAGAGTTGAAGCGGAAGGGAAATGTACAGTCTCTTTACTAATTAAACAATGACTAAACGACCGGGGTGCCGGGTCGAGCCTGACTCAGTCGTCTCGCGTCTGCCCCGCCGCCGTCGGCACACCATCGATCGCCCCCAGCTCCCCCGCATCAATGTCCGTCTCCGCGGGCTTCTCCGGCACCAGGCGGATGAGGAAGACCATGCAGGGCACAGCCAGCAGCAGGATGGCGCAGTTGACGATGAACGCAACCTTAGGGTCGGCGCCGGAGTTGGTGTTGATGGCGTACGAGACAGCCTGTCCCGCCGTCTCGAACGCTCTGAACAGGCCGCCAGTTCTGGAGCTGGACGCCACGTCGGTAGAGAAGGTGCCCAGAATCCAGTAGAGAGACAGCTGGGTCCAGTAGCCGGTCGTGAAGATGATGAGATAGGGGATGTAGGCTTCGGCCCATCTTCTGCCGTGGCTATTGAGAAGCACTGTCAGTAACCTCGAGGGTGAAGAGGAGGAGGAGGAAGGATGCACGTACGTTTCGTAGTCCAGTGCCGGCTTGGAGAGGCCGAACTTGCCGTACTCAATGCCAATCCAGACGAAGCAGGCTGCCTGGGGAATAGACCACATAGCAAAGGAGATCCATGCTCTCTTTGACTGGGACCAACGGGTGTTGTCCAGAAGCCTTCCGTAGGCAATGACAAGCGGGATGGTGATCGAGGCTGAGAAGCGTGTTAGGTGACTTCCTAGTATTGAGGTACGGGGACTTCTTACGCATTATCAAAGAAGAAAGCGCGCGAGCACGGACAGAGAAGTGCAGGGAAAGATAGGTTCCCATGGTTCCACCGTAGAAGAACGAGTAGAAGGAGGGAATGAAAATGAGCCAAGTCTGCACCCGGCGTTAGTTCATGACAATAGTTTTTACGAAGGAGACCTTCATACCTTGGGACGCTGTGCGTGCTTCCACAGGGCAGAAAATTCTTGCTTCCAGCTGATGCTTGGAGACATTGGGATCTTGGCGCCGTCTCTACGTCGGACTCGCCTGGTGGGCGAGAGGAGGAATGCCCAGATGACACCGGTGCACTCTGTGAAAACAGCCTTGTTTAGTTACTGCAGGCTTCCACAAGCAGGATGTGAAAACTTACCGAAGCCAACAAAGATGAGGTACGTAGACCACGCAATACCGCCGGCAGAGCTATCAGAGTAGTTGGTGGAGAAGTTGATTGCACCTCCCATCACACTGCCCGAGTTTCTCATCGCGGACCAGATGCCTAGGTAGAAGCCTCTGTCGTCTTGCTTTGGGTACGACAACATTGCGGTCGTCTCGGCGACGTAGAGGAATCCCGATGTGAAGCCTCCAATCAGCTATAGAAGTGTCAGACTGAACTAAATGCTCAACAATTGTCAAAGGTGACCTACCCTAGAGAAGAGAAGGTACCAATCAACGCCGTACTTGGCATTGACATAGTAGGCAGAGCCAGCCAGGGGCATGGCAATGGCAGCAATCATGCATGACCACTTGATGCCGAATTTGTTGATCAGAGGTCCTCCGAAGAGGGTCATCACGCAGCCAGCCGCATAGTTGAGCGAAGTTGCCAAGTTGGCGAGGTACGGGGTGGAGAGTCCACCACCTCCGAGGTTGGAGATGGCGTCGGACATGGCAGGGCCGACGAAAGACAACCTGCAGCAGAACACACAAGACTTAGATTCCACACTTGCATCGATGCACAGACGTTTGCTGTTACTTACGCTCCAAACAGGATCATCTGCCAGAGAACACTGCGCCAGAACTTGGTGAACTTTGGCGCGCGCAGGTACGCGTCGTCGATGCCATAATGGTCGGCTTCAATCACATGGCTGGGCACGGTGCCCAGCTCAGTGGTGTCGTCGACCTTTGTATCGTCTTTCGTGGGTTCAGGAGCCATGGTGAAGAGATGGCGAGATTTGGCGTATCTCGATTAAGAAGAGATCAGTGCGGCAGAGAGAACGTGTGCTCTAAACGAACATTGGAGTTATATATTCAAGCTTTTGGGGGTCGCCTATCAGTCGCCCAGACAGGAACTTGGAACGTCCGTATCAATGGACTTGGTTTGGGTGAGGCCCAGGCGCTGCGGAGGGCCAGTCAGGAGTGTGCCATTGTCATCCATGGCACGCCGGCCTGGAGATAACAAGTGACACGCGCCCATCTAAAATCCCCGATGCGTATCTGTCAAGCGGATGGCCCTTGCAACAGCAGCAACCTTGCCACTAGATTCCGATCCCCTTCAATGAAACGCAACTGTTCCTGGCTTGGCATCCAAACTTCAGTTTTGCCGGCTTCACAATGTCAAAAGCCCAATTCGACATCAGACAATGCGTTCAATTGAACATGGCAATTGAGCTGGCCAGACCCTCTGCTAATAATGCCAACATGTCGCCATCAAGGTATCAAAACATGAGCCCATTTCCCCAGACGGCCAGTGTCCTCGCACCCCGCTGACATCCTGGATGGCGGCCGCGGGATGGCTAGATGACAAGCTCTCCCCCCATCGACACATGCTACCCTGCTCATGTGGCCTCCAACCTCGACCAACCACACACGACCGCAGACCGGCAACGAGCAACAGTGTTGGCTCTTATCTGCACCGGCCCGGTTCCGGTTCCCCTGATAAACGTGGTCTTTCCAGCGGGCAGGCAGCGTTGATAACGTTCCGGGACCGGGTAAGGTAAGCCAGACGAGGCGGGAAAGTTGAGCACGGCCGCCAGGTTGCAGGGCGGCGAGCAACGGTTATCCTGCATATCCCGCGTTATCTGTGGGTGACGTTGCAGTGGAGCTCTCTCTGCTGTCTGTCCCTCCCAGCTGGGTGTCTGTCTGCTCCTCTAGCCTCTACTTAGTCGGCAGGTGTCCGGGGTGTGGTGGAACAGGCGAACTCCATCGGTTTGGGGTATCTGAGCCGAAAGCGGGGGAGGACCCAGCAAGCAAGCGATAGCGCTGACGGCGAACATTTCCCAAGCATTTCCCGGGGGAACTTTATAACAGCGAGGTCCGGCCGAACGTGGCTACTAAGCGTGGTGTTACCAAAAGCAGTCAGTGGTGTGTTAGTGCGCTGTAATCTGATTTACATATTCAATTGGCAACAGACGGGCGGATTGAGTGATAGACAGCTGCTTCTTCGGATACGGATAAGCCATGCCGCCCTCCCCGCTCCCGGTTCCGAACTCCACGACCTCCTTCTGGAGGTCAAGTCCGCACCCGCTCGACAATCACCGGTCTACCCCCGACGTCCCCTCGCAGGTTGACATTGCCGTCATTGGCGCCGGCTATGCAGGCGTCTCGACGGTCTACCACATCCTCAACATCGCCAAGGCCAAGGGCACCCCGCCCCCGAATATTGTGATTCTCGAGGCGAGAGAGGCGTGCTCCGGGGCCACGGGCCGCAATGGTATGTTGTTGGCATGTTTTATTTTATTGAGATGGCTCTAATGATGCGGCGGTGCAGGCGGCCACCTAAAGCCGGACCCCTACAATCGGCCTTCAACCCTTGCTCTCACGCATGGCGTTGAGATCGCTGGCGAGTGCGCCAATTTTGAGGCGGATAACCTCGCGGCTGTGAAGAAGGCTATTGAGGCCGAGGGCATTGACTGCGACTTTGTGTATACGCGTGCCGTCGACGCGTTGATGAGCGAGTCCATTTGCGAGCGCATGAGGTCTGGCGTTGAGTTGCTGAGGAAACATGGCGTCAAGGTGATGGACGACGTGTACTTTGCCAAGGGGGCGGAGGCAGAGCAAGTAAGTCAACTCTTTGACATTAAAGGTTTTAAGTTGCTGACGGAAACCAGCTATCGGGCGTTAAGGGCGCCAAGGGGTGTCTTTCATACACGGCCGGCCACCTGTGGCCATACAAGCTCATCATCGGCCTCCTCGAGAAGGAGCTTGCCGCCGGCGTGAACCTACAAACACACACACCCGTGACTGAGGTCACAGAAAAGCCCGATGCAGACGGCTTTTTCACTCTGACCACGCCGCGGGGAACTGTGCGCGCTAAGAACATCGTGTACGCGACAAACGGCTACACGTCGTCGATACTGCCCGAGTTCTCGGAAAAGATTGTCCCCGTGCGGGGGATATGCAGCCACATCCACCCCGGCAAGACGCCCGCGCCGCTGCTGCCTCACTCGTACATCATCCGCTGGTCGGAAAGCGAGTACGAGTACCTCATCCCGCGGCTGGACGGCAGCATCGTCGTGGGAGGCGCCAGGGGCGCGTACTACCACGACTTGGAAAAGTGGTATGGCAATGTCAGTGATGATAAGCTGATTGAGGAGGCGAAGCATTACTTTGACGGGTACATGCAGAAGGTCTTCAAGGGCTGGGAAGACACTGGCGCGTACACGAACAAGGTGTGGACTGGAAGTAAGCTGACATACTCTGAGACTGATGTGAGGTGCTTGCTAACGTTGCTCGTTACTAGTTATGGGATACTCCACGGACTCGACACCGCACGTTGGTGTAGTTCCCGGTAGGCAGAACCAGTTCATGCTGGCCGGGTTCACCGGTCACGGCATGCCACAGATTTTCTTGTCTGCGAAGGGCGTTGCGTCGATGGTGATGGAGGGTGTAGAATTTAAGAGCACTGGCATTCCAAGGCTTTACGAAGCTTTGCAAGCCAGATTAGACAATCCGAAGAACAACGTCTTGGATGGGTGGAAGGCATCTCAGAAGACTGCACCAAAGCTGTAGGTTGGTCAAAGTGGCAGGGTTTAATAGAATGCAGTCTCTCACGGTTGCTGGAAACGGCAATTCGCAACAGAAAGTGACTAGAATTATTGAATTAATCATGCAACCATTGTCTATCTAAGTGAGATAACACGACCTCGCTCAGTGGGAGATAGAGGTCACCAAACACATTATGCCATGACCCTATAGACGGGATACTCGTCGCCAACATTGACGGGCAGAATGTTGAACGTGGCATACGAGTCGATGCCCTCCGGCTCCAACGTAACAAAAGCGTGAGCAGCGTTCTTCTGTCTCGTGCTGACCCAGAATCCTCCCGCCGGAATTTTGACCTCCTTATTCACAATGGCAGTCTCCACGGTAGATCTTGCAACGCCTTCATACTTCGACGCAGCAACAGTGGCGCTAGTAACGTTCAATGCCTCGACCTCGCCGCTGAAGTCGAACTCGAGCGTCTGTACAGTGACTCCAGCCACGCGAAGACGCTCAGCCACATCAGCCCACGCCTTGGAGAACACGTACGCCTCGGGACGAGCGCGGGTGAGGTTCGCCACCACAGGCGTGGTGTTGAGGAACTGGACCGGAACATCGACCAAAGCTCCCGTCTCCGCCTCGATGAACTGCCATGAAATGTTCGTCGGGCGAGCCGATTCGGTGATGACAATATTCTCAGTGCTCTCGATGAACTTAGTCCTCGCGTTCTCGACAGTTTGGTAAACCTCCTCGGCGTAGTCCGCAGCGGTCTGGACAATCGTCTCGACCATCGTCAGGCCCGTGGCCACACGGCGCTGGAAGTGCTGATCCGCCAGACCGATGCCGCGGGTTTCGGTCAGGAACATGATGGCCTGGCTCAGCGCGACAGAGCTGTCGCCGATCTTGGCGTCGCCCGTCGTCTCCTCCAGCACAATGTCGTCGGTCCCATCGGAGCCAACGACGTAGGGACCCCATCGCAACCCCCTCTTCTCCATCGCTGCCGCAATGGCGTTGGCGAACACGGCCTCTGAGATATTACGAATGTCAGCGTGGATGTTGGCGTTCTTCATGGCTGAGAATTGGCCGTCCTGCGCGTCGATCCATTGCTCTTTCGCACCCCACGCCTGAGTCGGGCTGTACTCGTGGCAGTCGACGCCGACGTGCGGCGCGAACCCCATGACCAGCTTCTTGATGTCGCGCGTCTGTTGGCGAGCCAGCTTGGTGTGATCGCGATTGGGGTCGAAATTAGTCGCAAAGTAACGCTGGAAGTACGCGACGCCATCGGGGTTGTATCGGGGAAGCATCATGATATCGACCTTGTCGAGGATGGACGCGGCCCAGGTTGCGTTCGCGTCGAATCGGCCAAGCAGAGCCAGTAGAGCTTGGTCGCCACCTGGCTCGTTACCATGAACACCGCCCTGCATCCAGATGCGCACTTTGCTGGGAACACTGGCATTGGCATGTGAGGCGAGACTATCGGAAATGCGCTTCGTGGTCGACAGGTAGACGTAGGGTATCGTGCGGCCTTCTTCGGACTTGAAGTCGGGGCTGTGATAGGTCATCCACTCATTGCGGGCAGCGAGAGTCTGAAGGTAGTAGTCTGCGAGTGTCCAGTCAGAATAGCCCAAATAAAACTTATGTTGGCGTCACGCACCGAGAGTTGCCTGGTCAGTCGGTCCACTGGTGCCGTTGGCGAAAGTGCCGGGTACGCTGTCCGGGTTTGCGAATGCAGGCGAGAGAAGCTCAACGCCCTCGACCTCAGGGAAGTTGGCAGCGACAACCTCGGTATCGGGAACCACCTCGACCTGGTTGCTGGCATAGGTGAGCGCGGTGGCCAGGCCTGCGTGCAGCAGACCCAGGGCAGCTGTTTCCTGGTAGCGCATGGTGATGATCGTCCCCGGACCTGGCTCCGATCAAATTCTGGCGATTGGTGGCGGCGACGGTGAGGCGACAAACACCGATATTGAGAACGCAACGTGGGTTCCTTTGCTTTTAAACTTGCCCGCAGTCTCTCGGTCTCCCACCGAACTCCAATCGCATCGCCAAGGCCTCATTTACCACGGTCAGGGACCCGTAACGTCATGTTGTCGCTGTCGCGGTACGACGGTCACGGCATTTTTGCTCGAGCTATGCGCAAATAGGCATCTGTTCATCTCTAGTGTGGAGGATGCCCCTCAAAGTGTGGGGTTTAAAGTCTTGGGGATGCTGTCAAAAATCCCCGGAGCTTCCATACAAGCGCTGCGATATCGCTTGCCAAGACATGTTATCTTGCCAAGAGAGAGCCATTACCAGGCCGTCGGGCGGATGTGCATCAATTTTTGATTTCAATTGTTAATAACATTTGTGTGTGATAAAACCTGTTGGAGCAAAACATCGTTGGAGATGGAAATCGTAAGGACGTTAAATGCACGCGTGGATCGAATCAATGATGGTTTAGATGTAAAGGCAACGTTGACCAAGTTGGAGGGAATACAGGAGAGAAGTATGAAACAAGCAATGTGGACAGACACGGATTTATATGTAAATAGTGTGCTAAAAGCATTGTTTTATAATCCTACCTAAAAGTCGGAACGTATCGCAATTTATTTCTCACCTTTGGCTATGTCAAATGAGGTCATGAATGCTGATATCGAGGGACACGATATTTCCCCTCATGAAATAGATGGACAAATATAGAAACAGAAGCAGAGATAGAGATAGAGAAACGAATAAGGTAGAAATAGCAACACTAGAGATAGGAGTAGAAACGAAGGCATATCTATCAGTCTAATCAAGTCGTAGACATCCCTCCCGTCACTCTTGGAACTTGCGTGTTGCTTTGGTAAGAGCTACTAAACAAGCTGACCTTATCGACTACCACTATCGGCACAGAGGCGACGAGATACAGCCGATCAAGACGGATGCACCAATTCCAGCTGATGGCACCGTGAGGCCGGTTCCGATGATGTTGCAAAGCGCGCACTCAAGCGACGACTTGCTACACTTGATCTCGTATTCCATGTTGCCATGTTCGGAGGGGTTGCGGCCCGAGCCTTTCGGTGGGATGTTGTCCATCGTCATCTTAATCTTTCGCGGCACCTTTACGTAGTGGTCGACCTTGTCCACCCACTGTAGGCACTGACCCTCGCGGCCGGGGCGTGTGTCCGGCGTGCGACAGATACGAGTCGTCGTCTCGCGCTTCGACGAGTATTCCTTGGTCTTGCCGAGATTGGCAAACGCGGTGGAGAGTCGCTGCAGCGAATGCAGCTCAGAGTGGCCCTCGTTGGCGTGGCATGACCACTCAATGGTACAGCCCGAGCCGATTGAGATGGCCGTGGTATCGCAATCGGTACTCTTGTCGTTGAACATGCGTCGGACAGTCGCGACTACGTTCTCCGCGGTTTGCTCGTACAGCTCCACCCAGTCCGAGTTGGTAGAGCCGGTGATGGTCGTATCGTCCTTGTCATTGTTGTTGCCGCCACCGCTGCCGGGTTTGACGTACGGCTTGCCGCGGTGGTTGCACACGTAGGCGCTGGAGCACCACTTGCCGTCGGCTAGCTGGTACACCTTGTCCCAGTGGTACGAATAGCACTTGAGCGGCTTGTCCAACTCGTATTTGTGCCAAGCATCACCAGCTGGGTTGGGATCTTTGATGCTGCGGTCAATGTGGACGGTGAAGACGTCACCATTGGGCATAGTTGCGCTGACACCGCCAGCTTGGCCCCAAGGGTACGATCCACTCCAAGGCACGTTGACCATCATGGTCGGTCTGTAGGTATCTAGCCCGTTGCCCGTCCAGACATCGCCCGGGTAGTAGATCATCTCGCGTGAGGTAGAACCGCCGTTTGCCCCGAGACCGATGCCGCAATCGGCGAGCACGATATTCTCGTATGGGCTCCTTTGGGCCAATGCAACACTTGCAGAGAACAGAAGGGTTGCGCCCCAGGAAGCACACCGGAAGTTTTTGGTGAACATGTTGAGTTGGCGACTTATCGCGGTAGATAATAATTGATGAATTAACAGAGTCAAGCGTTTCAAACGAGGTGTTCTCAGTTAGTGAAATCTTGTTGATGCTGCTAAGACCGAAAGTGCCAGCTGTGGCAACATCGTGTCTTTTATATTTCTACCTATCAACTCGTCCTGCCCTCGATGGGACCATTCGTATTAGCTTGTATCCCCGCGGTATGGTTGCTGGGTGTTGTATTTCCCCTATTTTGTGAATAATTCTTTTGTGAATACTTGTATGACTAAAGGGAATATGAGGACCCTTTTTTTCTTCTACTTTAACTTAGGCTAGTCTCCTTAACTACTATATTATAACTTAGATAAGGGTAATAATAGCGATTAGCTTTTAGAGCTATTTATTATACTTCTTATTAAATATCCTATTAATCTCCCTTATATTATTCTTATTTTTTAGGTTCTTAGTGATCTTTTTAAATCTCTACTTAATTTAATAGAGAACTTAGTTCTAAGAGTTTTCTAAGAACTTAATATATATTATAAAGAGGTATAGAGATACTACGTTATTATTCTTAGCTATAAGGATATAATTAAACTATTATTAAATATATAGTAAATTAGTCTTTTTTAGATATTTAATATTACTAGTAGTAAGGGCTATATTAATTAAGTAGGGGGTATATATAAGATTTATCTTAGAGGGCTTTAAATTTAGGCTATAGTGTAATAAGGGGCTGCTTCTACTTAGCTAGGTAGCTTAAAAATCCCCTTTATATACCTTATAGGTTAGCTATAGAGGTTATACTGTGACCCTCTATATATTTCCCCGTTAGAGTTATATAGTAGTTAATAAGGTGCGCCTCCAGGCGGCAAACTGCGAAGAAGAAAAGTTAGAAGGGAAGAAAGGTTGTATTTCCCCGGGCTCGCTGTTCAAGAACCCGCTCAACATGACCGTCTGCTAGATGCGGGCTTTCCGAAAAGGTCTCGCCTTTCTCCGACGTGCTTCGGGTAATGCGTTGAGCCCATTGTCTCCAGTCCGGAAAGGCTATCTGGAGTGTGGGTTGCACAAGAAACCCAAGTTGAATGCT